ATGTGGAGGGCTTTCATGCAAGCAAACATAGAAAAACTATAAAGACCTAAAAAAAGAGCTTTCATGCAGCTTCTAGTACCAGTGAGCCTTCTAGTGAGAATGGTAGGCTAGTAGGAATTACAGTGTCAGTTTGATGGTGTAATGGTCTGGATGGAAATCCTGAAATTATTGGTCTTGTCTAAATGGAATATTATGGTATGAGTTGTGGGATATCTTCAACAACATGGAGAAAACATGCATAGAAACCATGACTTTCTGGGTCATATTCATACTACAAGGAGATTGAGAGTACAGATGGACATGATATAAGACCTTTGTGATAAGAAGAAACTGTGGGTTATTATTAAGAAATTATTCCTTCCATGGCTGAAAGAAGGCATCTCCCAGGGATATTTTGGCACTCCTCTTGCACAGAGGTAGTGAGCATTTTGGGGTGATACAAAAAGATCTGGCTGGGCACATCACCACTGAAACAGCTCTTGTAATACAACCAAATGCAGTCTGCTTGCTTGTACAAATCAAATAATAGTATTGTTTCTGGAATGAACAAAGTGAACTGCAATAGAGACAGGCTAATGTTAAGACCACAGCCGCAAAGCAAGAAAAAAACAGATTTTGTCCCACTTCTTTTATATAACACAGCTGCTGTACTAGTGGTTGCCATCTGAACCATATGAAGATTTGAAGGTGCTTTAATGCAAGGACAACTCTGGAAACTGTAAACCTCTGAAGGAAATTGATAAGGAAGTGGTGATCCTTTGGGGATTAATTGCTCTTGGTAGGATAGGCTCTCTTTTCAAACCTGGAAGGATCCAACACTGGATGAGAATGTTGCTGAAACAGGAGACATTGAAGAAGTTTCAGAAGAAATCACTACCATCATAGGACTGGCAAAGGACTGACAAAGGAACAGATAGAAGCAGTTGGAACATACATGGGGATTAAAAACTGAGAGGAGCTATATTTGCAGAATCTTCATACAGTGTGCAGTTTTGTGATCAGGATACATACAGCCATATAACCCAGGGTGATCTGAATCAGTTTGGCTGGAACACACTGGCAGCATTGTAACTCTTAAATGACAAGGACATAATTCAGTGCATCTCATGATCTGGGGAAAGGCTGAACAGATCCCAGTTGAGTGCCAGAATTCATTGGGAAAGTAAAGAAAATATTTACTTGATTGGGAACAGAAACTCAATTTGCAGAGTAGGTACACAGTGGTAGAAATGTAGAAGAACTGGTGGTACAATAAATGAAGGACTGTGAATACCTAACTGACAAGTGTGTGTGGTGAAAACCTATGTTGCCAATGACAAGCCATATGGAGCAACACAAAAGTGTTAGAAGTCAGACAGTAATATCAAAATAGAAGTAGAAAGATAATCTTCAAGAAATTTATGGAATTTTGAAATATGGAGATTTCTTAAATCTAAGATAGGACAATAATAATTGCAAAGTGCTTTGTTGTTTTGAAAGACAAAGCATGTAGCTATAAAGAAATACATCCACCTCTTCTTTACTGTCTTCTACCAAGTTATGAAGAAAGAATGTCCTTTTGTACCATAAACAGTATTAGCAATGACTTATACAGGCCTAGTGGTTCACAGTGCAAAATGACAAGATAGCAGAGAAACTCGTAAGTCCCATGGCCAACTTTCTCATCTCCTTGTAATTTGGTTCCAAATGCAAGCAGTTCCATTGACAACTTTAAACAACTGTAGTGTTACGGAAGGAATGATGAAAGCAAAATCATCAATGGTCATCTCATAAAAAGTTTTCTGTTTCCTGGAAGTTGGGGGCATAAACTGTGGTTTCTGCCATAATCCATTAGCTGTCTTCACTAAAGCTAAAATGATTGATGTTGAATTTCATTGTGAACCACAGTAAATCTTCCTCTGGAGGAGGGAATTGTTGCACTTCCAGTCCAGAGTCAAGTGCTGTTCAGAGTAATTGCTCTGTATAGTGGAGGCTTTCCTCCAAAGTGCTGCTTGGTCCAAGCGGTGAAGTCCAGAAAGAAGTGGAATGGGGTATCTGATGCTCCCAAAGCAGAAGCAGAATTATAATGCATTGGTATCAGTGGAGTTGATTTCTGTCAGTTAGAATTGGTAAACTGCACAATGTGCCATTATAATATAATGGGGTTTACAGTTAAATCTGCTTGTCCAAGAGGGATCAGTTGTGAAGACTTTTGGATTTGCTGATAGAGAAGGACTGATTTAATTCATACTGAAAGCAGAGCTGATAGTGGATCCAGTAGTAGCATCATGGGAGTAACCATTGAATCAAAGGTTCTCAATCCTAGGCAGTGGCATCTTGTGATGTGATACCAAAATAATAATGGGGTCCTTTGGTTGCAAAAGTAATTGCTGAGGGGTGGGGGTGGGGACTAAGGATTATTTTGAAAGTGATAGGTAAAAGTTTCTAGGATAGTAGAAATCATCTTAGTAACAGTAAAAATTCCTATGAGTAGTGATGAAAAACCTAAGGCTCCAGGTCTCTAACCAGAAAACAGTGAGTCTCAAAATGGTTAGTTGAAGGAACTTTGAGTAGTGATCTCAAGATAGATATTGTCAAGAAGAGAAGTGTGGAGTCTTGCAGAGAGATACTGAAGATCAATGAGAACAGCCACATGAGAACTGAGATTAAAGAGATGAGAAGTAGCACTAGATCCTCCAATTTCTCAATTGGAAGTAAAATTCAGCCGTTGTTATATCTTTGGGACACTTCAGTGCTACTGGAGATCAGTGGATTTGCATCCAGTAGTAGGACTGAAAAATTTAATAAGGGAGATAGTCCCAGAACAGCTTGATTGTCCTTTTCTTGTTAATGTTTCCTTCTCTTCTGTTAGAAGATAAAATTAAAAATAAGATTTCCTGGGTCTAGGGAGCATTCTAATGTAAGAGGATAGATCATAGTTCTGCAGAATACAGCATGAAAAACCTTGGGCTAAAGAGTGTGCCACTTATCAAACAGGCTGCAAGAAGCACCTTTTCTGAAAGGACAGAATGATTGATTATACCAACTTTTCTTTTCCAAGCTTTTGCCGGTGTAGTCAAGAATCCACAAGGTACCCTTCACCATGACAAAGGAGGCACGGTGAATGGTCGTGAGTAGTCAGTAACTTGCTACCACACTTCTGGTACTTTCAGAAAGGGACTTGAAATCCCATAAACTTAGAGGCCTGGTGAAAAAACCACTCTATATTCTGGGATACCAAGGGGTAGGCAAAGATCCTTCTCTCTCTTTTTTTCTTGTAATAATAGAGAAAAGAGGGAGACATCAATACAGACATAATTAATGTCATATTTCTTTCTCTGTATTGAAATAACAAGAGAATTAACCTAACAATACTGCTGTTCATGGAGGCGTTGGGAAGGGCCAGCAGCTGCCTGGGCCAGGTGCACCTCATCAGCAATGGGAGGAAGAAGATGGTGAAGGTCAGCAGGAGCAGCAGAGCGCAGGGCAGCCAAAAGGGCAGAGATTGAGGGAAGATAGGTGGGTGGGTGGAGTTGAAGCATACACTGCGGTTGTAAATGCGGCGGGCTGCCAAGCGCCCAAATTTTGATCATGTGTCCGTGGGTGCGCTGCAACAGCTGTAACTTTGAGGGACCAGTTGTAACTACCATTTGTTCAGCACCATCATAACTTTGAACGGTTGCTGAATAAATGGTTGTTAAGTGAGGACTACCTGTAGGTAAACTGTTCCCTCAACTTACTGTATTCCAACCCCCCAAGATGGATTAATCCAATTGCATATTTAATATATTGCATCATTTGCCTGTGGAGAGATTCTAAACTAGAAGTAGGCGACTTGATGCTGTCCAAATTTTAGGCTTTCTATTCCTATATGTCCCAACCAGCATGGCGAGGGATTGTGTAGTTGTAATCCAAAACATTTGGACTGCATGTTATATATCTACATACCTACCTACACAGAATAACCTCTCAGAGTCTTAAATGCATATTTTCAAAGATGATTCAGTCCCTTGGATCATTGTATAACTGACGCAGCTCATAACTTAACTTTTTTCATAATAACCCCATCCAATGTTTATACATTTCTTTTAAAGTAATTTTTTATCTGTTTATTGTTCATTTTCAAACAATAGTAATAAAAATGATAAAAGTGTTCATGATACATGTTAGGATGTATCAGTGCTAGATGGATAATGCTGTGCTTTGTTTCACTTTGATCATTTGTACTTACTAAATGTTGTTATTTAAAAATACATTGCCATGTTTTATAAACACTGAAATAAAAAATACAGCTTTACTTTAAAAAAGGATTCTCTTGCACCTAGATCAGTTTTAGATGTTGAGAAATGTAATTCTCTTCAGGATTTAGCTAAATTTGTTATGTTTGACTATGTGTTTAAAATTCTTTGCTAATGCAGATAGCCATAAAACCATTATACGTATGAAAAAAAAAGGTTGGTGCAAATAAGGGGCTGAAAGCCAAGTAACTGTTAAAATAGATTTGTTTATATGTTTTCCTTCTCTAAATGTATATAGAACAAACTATCAATATTTTTTATAATGTCTCATTAAAAGTTTAGGGCTTTTTCCCCTGAATAGTAGAATAGTGTGGTTTACATATTTTGCTGCTTATTTAAGCCAGTGGCTTTCTTTAGAAAAAAATAAAGAAAAAACATTTTTTTCTAATGATATTTTGTTTGGCTAATCAGTCTTGAGGATGGCTTGATTGGTGTTCCTGCACATTGCAGGGGGTTGAACTAGTGGTCCCTTCCAACTCCACAATTCTATGATTCTGTGTAACACAAAAGCCACTACTTTGTACAGTATGCCTTGACCTTAATGCTGTCTGATCTGTTTGTTTTGGATTGTGCTTCTTTCAAATTATCTTTTGTCTGAAAAACAATTAAAACGCAGTTCACAGGAATGTAGATTTGGCAAATCAACCTGTGACTTCATTTAATTACAAATTGGGCTTATTTCTTATTCTTGCTTTCCTCTTGGAATCTGGTTATACAACACAGACTGACAGCGAAAGGACCGACACCGCAGCGGATGGTGAAACCACTGCCACAGAGGTGTGTACCGTTGCTCTGATACTGTTGCCAAAGAATGTATCACGTATCTTAAATATTCTGAACACAAGCATTGTTGATACCACTTACTAATGAAATAGAACCTTGCAGGATAGAATTGGCCAAGCAAATACTATGGGAGACAGGCGGTCCCTCAAATAACCAGGCCCTGTGCCATGTAGGGCTATGTCCTATGACAATTTCTGTATGAAAAAGCTTTCCCATTAATTTCAATTGAGCAGTTACCTCTGTTATATATTCATTTTTTTAGCTACTCCCAAAACATTTTGAGACAGCTCTTAAAACAGATCCTTCTGGGTGGAGGCTTATGCCAGGAGAGATTACAGTACTTGTTGTATATTTTGTTCATTTGATGGGTATGAACTGTTTAAAAACACCATAACAATTGTTATAGCCATTAAATGATTTTTATTAGTAAGATAATATTTTCTGTTTTTCCTACATAAACAGTCAGATCAGGAAGAAGATGGTGATCTCAAGGCACAGGTAGGTGAAAGAATGTCCTGCTTCTTTTGTGTATTTGTGTTGTCCTCCATGGCTAAACTCCTTGTGTTTATTCATATTCCCACAATATTTACAAATGTTGCTTACAACAGCATTTTTATATTCTGAGTATTGTGGCCCTTACATTTCCCTTTCTTTTTCAGTTTTTTCAGAGTAGTCTGATTAAGCGCATACAGGGTGAAAATGTGTATATCAAACATAGTAATCTTATGTTAGAGGTTGGTATGGGTATATATTAGTGCATGTATTCTACGTGTGTTTTAAATATAGTGGTTAAGCTGTGGATCTGCATATGATGCATGATATGTGTATTTTTCACTTGCTAATAAATCAGATGGCTCTCTAAGATTAGGGTTTTCTGTTACACTGTTCTTTAGAACTCTGTTGCATACATATATAGATTTTTTTTCAAAGTCTCTTTCTAGAATGTGTGTGAAATATGACTCTCCTAAAAGTATTGATACTCACGTGAATGAGGACTACTTTACACATTGCATATTGAAGTGTGCCCAGGAAGTGTTTTTCATATACAGAGCAATGTACAAAGCACATGTGCTTATGAATGCATATTAACATAGGTTCAGTTGGCAGGGAGCTTGGATTGGTTGGAGATCCCTAACAGGAATCCTCCCTAGTGGCAAATGCCCTTGCCACAGTGTTATGTGTGAAGTGTCCTAAGAGTTTCTGTACATCTGTCCTTTGAAGCACAGTTTCCCAAGAGTGTTGTGTTAGTGCTGTGAGAGCTAATCTCATCAAGGCTTCTTTTGCTGATTAACTTAGAAAATCCATTTGTTTTTCTGTCTTGTCAATTCAAATAAGCTAATATAAAAAATGCTGCACTCCCCTTCCCCAAACCAGGAACTAGATAAAACCCAAGAAGATCTGATAAAACACCAGACAAATATAAGTGAGCTGAAACGGACATTCTTAGAAACCGCCGCAGATACCTCAGGGACTAATGAATGGGAAAAGAGACTCTCAACATCCCCAGTCCGGCTTGCTGCAAGACAAGAAGAAGCCCCTATGATTGAACCACTTGTGCCTGACGAGGTGAGTGCGTCTATGTCTCTCTTTCAAGTATCTGCATTCCGGCAGCGTTTTCATGGATGTTAACGATACGTTTCTTGTCCATTAGACCAAAGAAGAGAAAGAAAAATCTGAAAAACGTATATTTTTACAGAAGGAAAGCACTACCTACCTTGATTCTCAGGTAAAAAGGAAAGCTTGTATTTTTATTGCTGAAAGGTGTATTAATTTGATAAATGCATCACATTTCTTTTGACAGCACATTTTTAAAGGTTCAGTGAATATATCACAAAGGTTTCTGACTTAGATCTGTTTTCAGGTGATAAATGCATCACATTTCTTTTGACAGCACATTTTTAAAGGTTCAGTGAATATATCACAAAGGTTTCTGACTTAGATCTGTTTTCAGGTGATAAATGCATCACATTTCTTTTGACAGCACATTTTTAAAGGTTCAGTGAATATATCACAAAGGTTTCTGACTTAGATCTGTTTTCAGGCTTATTTCTTTGCAGCTTAGGTACTTAGAGCATAGAATCTCATCATTTATTCTCTGGACATCTGCATATTATACATGTTTAAACATCTCAGTAAAAATAATAAGCAATACTCAACTGCCTTTAGGATCCATTCTCATTGTAGCATTGAAAAAAAAAATCAGACCTGCTTCAACAATTACAGCAAATATTTTTTCCAGATGTGTTTGATAAAGAAGCATGCTTATCAAACTACAAATTTGCCACTTGAACTTCTTCATTCTTATGTATGTAATTTTCATTGGGCAGGCAGAATTTTCAGAAATTGCAGCAAGGATCAAGTCTGCACATAAATAAGTTTATATGCAAGTGGGGTAGTATAGTGTTACAGGGAATGGTAGATGAATGTACTTCCCCTGTTCTCTTATAGTTTGATAGAATTCAAAAGATGTATTTCTGGCCTGAATGGAAAGATTATGCTGACTGGAAATGCTCATAAACATTTCCCAGAATGTCTAGTGTGTTTCCATGTGTGCATTCAGGAGAGAAGGGGAAGAACAACTGTAAGGGGATCCTACCTATAAACTTGTATAAATCATTTTTAAAATGAGCAGCTACCACAAAAATAATTCACCATTACCTCTGCAAAGGTATACAATTATACAAACAGGAGAATCTTGAGGTGCTTTTAGAAAAGCAGTATTTTTATTCTGTCTCAAATATGGAATATTAGAGGGGATCCCAGTGTTACTGTCTTTTGCTTGTAATTCTTCTGTCTCTTCCTTCACTTCCTTTTCATCTTTTTTTAAATAAATATTAAGGAAAGGCACAATAGCTGCACCATGCATTTTGATTAGTAATATTATATGAGCTGTCATTCTGGAACTACCATTGAATATATTTTCTTGAAAGTATGTGAAATTGATGCTTCAGTGTATGCTTGCAATTTAATATTTGGAGTGTAATGTATTGATTGTTTATATAAAGTTGCATAGTACATTATGTACTAAACAATTATATAAAGACTATACTCTCTATTATTTGCAGTATTTTACAGGTGTACAAAACATTTTAAATTGTTTCAAGCACAGAACTTCACAGAACTGGTTTTTGAGTATTAAACTGCTCTTTCAGATGTTTTGGGAGTGTTTATTGCTCCAAAGCTCTGTTTTGCACTTGAAACAGCAGTTTTCACTCAAACTAGATAGATATGAGAAATTTTGTATTGAAGAAGATTCAGAACTAAATGATTTGCATGCCCTAAGTAGCATGTTTTTTAAAAAAAAAGTACGTAAAAGTTAATATTAAGACAATGTGATGCCCCTTCCTGTATTATGTATCTAAGCTTAGTTGTCACAAGTTGAAATATATATATTGTCTTCTGGCTCATGAAAAGACTTTAGAAATGTGTATGTTAATAAGGTAGCTACTGTAGCCACCTAAAAGATGTAATATTTTAGTTTCCTGACAAAGAAGTAAACTCTTAGTTGTTCTAATTGAGCTTTTATATTTATAGGGCACTGAGGATTGGGTTATTGTAGACAAAGTACCCATTGAGGTAGTTGATGGTGAATCGAAAACTATTATGACATACAAATTAATGACTGTGAGCAGTAAAACTGGTGACATCCCACCCGAGCTTTTAAAACACGGTATCACTGACATACAGAGCTTTGAGGACTTGGAAGGTGAATTGCTCTCAAAAGATGACAATAAGCAGAAAATGTATACCTTAGGAAAATCCTATGATACTGTTTCTGGGAAAATTGTAACCATGACCACTAAAGTAAAGGAGGGAGAAAAAATTGTTCCGCCATCACTTGATGTATTTCAAAAAACAGAAAGGGCAATGCCAGAATCTGTGAAAATCATTCCTATAGTAGCAGAATATGAAATTCTAGAACCAGTTACTGATGAGAAAGCCAGAAGATTATCTGATGCCAAAAGAAGGGTTTCTGAGTCCTTGACACCCATTAAAGAAGCGGACTCCCAACTACAAAGTCCAGAAGAGGAAAATGCGAAGAAGACACTGAAGACGGATCAAGATTCGCAGTTGCCTGATACGCTGGGAAGCGTGCAGACAGCCAAAGCTGAGAAATCACTCGAGAGTGAACAACTAAAAGGAGAGACTTTTGGTTGGAAAACTAAACCTGAGTGGAAATATGGCGGAGAGCCACCTTTTACCATTGCTACTGCTCACTATGTCACTGAGTCATCAGCATCAAGAGTAGTGGTAACATACAACTTTGCCCCAGTTTAACAAAGCATGACTTTTTTAGACAATATCCTCACTACCCTGCCTTTTAGTCCTTTTGCTGCTTGGCCTTATTTTGACAACAGCCAACCCAGCTTTTTTATTATTTCTTCATGATTTAAGTAAATTAACACAATACAAAGCTGACATTAGGCATTTAAACTAAAAATCAACCTTACTGAAATGTAGTGTGCTGCTCCTGCTTGTTTTTGAAAGGAAAAGAATGCTTCACAAGACCAGTAGAATCCTAGTGCTAACCACTTGCTTTTTTAGATTATTGCTTATATTCAATACAGACTTGTGCTAATTTATTTTCCCATTATTTTTCTCTCTCTGCCCCTGCCACTTTCCTCCTCTCCTTTGTCTTTATTTGTGTCAATTAACATGAACTGTCTGTTTGCTTCTCTTTCTGTGTCCATATGCCTATGACTATGTATTTCTCTGTCTGTTTAGACAAAACAACTCTCCGATGAAAAAACTTTGGATGGTTCTGGTATCTTCACATTAATAGAATCTGCAAGGAAACCAACTGAGTTCATAGGAGGGGTTACAACTACATCACATAGCTGGGCACAGGTGGCCATCCGATTCATCTTTAGATTTTGATGATTGCCTCTTGATGGGCCGTGGTGTTATTTAATAGTGACACTGGGGTTTTCCTTTATTATTTTGCACATAAATATCTTCAGAATCTTCATGGAAAGCATTAATGCACATGCTGGGTACTTTTGCCTCTTAGATTTATATAGATAAATCTGAGGAAATTCAGAAGTGGGAGGTAGTATTGCTTTATTCATTCTTGAGATAGAACTCAAGTGCATTAAAGTTAAACTTGGACTTCGTATCTATTAGCAATATGCAGAGATCCAGATTCAAAGGGCAGAATATGATTTGGAATGTACAAGGATGTGAATGTAGCACGTGTCAGGTACATCTTAAGGCAATTGCATCTTTTTCCTGACCGCACGATCATGCTGCAGCATGATTTAATTTGGTTTAAGGTGCTTCCGAAACCTTAATGCATTTGGTGTTTGACAGGTACTCCAAGCACGCCATGTGTACTCCAGATCACATTTTGCCCTTCAAACCGAGGTCTCTTCAGAACTCTAGTAGTTATAACAGAAATCACATTGAATTTCTAAGGACACCTGTACAGAGGCTAAAAGCATGCAAAACAAGCCCTTGGTCAAGCTTGATACTCTTTCATTGTAGATGTACACATTAGCTTTTAATATTAACTTGCATTTCCTGCAGCGAACAGAAGCAAAAACTGATCAGGAAAAGAAGGCAGAGCAGCAGCCGCAGCAGCAGGAAGCCATAAAGAAGGTTGTGCAGGAAACTGTAATGGTCGAGGAGAAACTTGTGATGAGTGTGCATGCAAGTGGGGATGCTGCTGAATTGGCTGGCCTTCAGCTGGATGCTACGGCACAGACAATATCTCATGTGGCTTCTAGCATCAAAGGGAAGGAGGGCTCTGCTATGACTGAGGGGGCTAAAGAGGAAAAATGGCAGGCGGTTGAAAAGGCTGCAGTCCAACAGGAAGAAACTGCTACTATTTCTCATGATCTGGAAGAGGAGCAGAGTAAATCAGCCCATATTTTGAATACACAGGAAAGAAAACCTCTTTTTGAGGTAATTAGACATGTCTGATTTGCTGATTTTGAACAAAAGCATAAATCGCCATACACTTCTTCAGTGAAGTTATGAAATGCACATATATTGTTATTGTGAGCAGTTTGTTTCTTAAGGCAGCTTCACATGCAGCTGTTCTTCACTTGTATGGCTTTCAAGCTCAATTGGCCCTTTACATTAATCATCCCTGTTCGGTTTAGTATGACATTTAAATGTGGGTACATGGCTATTATGTGATTAAGGCTAGCAGCCTTAATTACTGTCTGTAGCTGTGGTCCAGCCGGGGCTTCCCTTGATGTGTGAATGTAGACTAATGTCTGTCTTTTGACAAAGTAGCGCATAGTCCACATGGAAACCCAAGGCAGGATGCAGGAATTCTCTTTCATAGTGATTCCTGCTGCTTCATATTCTTCCATCTCTCCCCACTGGTATACATGCAGATGTTAAAAACAAAGTTTGCCTTCCCCTTGAAGCACTGGGCTTCTCTGCAGATCACCATTTCTTTGAAAATTTAAAAAATCAACTGGGAAGCAACACAATGTTTCTTCACGTGCATGGCATCTTGAAGTTTCTTGCAATGTTTGTTTTAGGTTTGTTTTTGTTTTAATTTACTTTTTGACATCGTGCACTCTCTAAGAAGCATTTTGGACTAAATAATACAGCTTAACCATGCCGACACTAGAACATATTTTATCAGAGCAAAGGATGAAGTATAATCTTTCATGGAAAAATCACTACCTGTTACTTTATATTACCTAATCTACTGTATAAACATTTCCCTACATTTTTTTTTCAAATCTGAAAACGGTCCTAAAAGCACTTCCCAATTGATTTATTGGAATGTTCTAATTTCAAACTGCCATATATGCAATCTTAGCGTGGTTTTGATCCTGTTTTAACTATTTAAAGAAAAATAAGCTTATATAAATTTGGGCCTCAACAAAATGAATTTAAACTTTAAATGGAAAAAGATATATGCTATTTAAATATGTTCTTAATTTAGATATAAATAATGGTAAAAATGCTGTTTATATGTAATTGCATATAATTGAGATATTTCCTCTTATGCAAGAGCATTCATTTACATTTTACCCCTGAATACTAGAAAATCAAGGAATTTTAATGTATGCTACATTTATATTTCATTGGAACAGTCACCCATTGTGAAGACTGAGACAATCAGTTTTGGCAGTGCTGCTCCTGGTGGAGAAAAATTGGAAATTTCTATGAAAGAAGTACCTGTTGTCCATACTGAAACAAAAACCATTACATATGAATCATCTGAGGTAAGGCACTAAAAACAGAAATTGGGAAAATATAACAGGCAGATTCTATGAACAATAAAATAAAATTTGCACCGAAGCTAACAGATTGGTAATGAAGGCAACATATGTACAAAATTAAACTTTATACGGACTAAGAAGCCTTTAATAATGGTTTTGTCTGAGACCAATTTTTTATTTTAAAAAATAGCAGAGCATAGGTAATACTGAAAAAAAGAAAAGTTTTTTAGTTCTCATGATGTGAACATTTTTGAAGACTGATTGAAAAATTGGTTGGTGTAATAACATTAAAATATATTTTCATTATGACTTGACATTGTATCAGTTGAAGACTAAAAGATGGATACAGTGTTGTTTTGTAATGCTATTCATCTGGTTTTCAGTGCTAGACAAATTACCATTCCATCTGCATTTGACTATTGAAAGAAGTGAACTATTTAAATTCTACTTCATAGTAAGAATATTTGCCAACTTTATACAAGTATCTCCAATCTTGAATGCATTTGTCATTTCATACAGTGTTTGTTTATCTTCTTTTCTTAGATGGATTCTAGTGCTGACTCTGAACCAGGAGTTCTGATGAGTGCACAGACCATCACTTCTGAAACTACTAGTACTACAACTACTACACATATCACCAAAGTAGGTGTCTCAGAAATTTGTTTACTTCAATATAGGCTTGAGTTTATTTGTAAATATATAAATATCTGACCTAAACAACTAAAGTAACCAGTTATTTATTTTAAAAATTATAGTCTTTCAGACTTAAAATGGCTCCCCAAGGCAGTTTATAGTATTTAAAACTTCTTTACAAGTAATAATGTAGATCAGGGGTTAGAAACTTTTAGGATGGCAGACACCACAAATGAGAGCCAGTGGGAAGCAGTTTTTAAGTTTTAGGGTTGTTTTCTGAAATTTTTGTATTGCCGGATAATTTAGAATTTGTAGGACAGATACCAAAGCAGGAGGACATTAAAAGAGGTGCCAGGACCAAAACAAACAGCAGCATGTTTATTTAAATTGTCCCCATTGATTATTTACAGTACCAGGGGCCCATCCTCCATCTGCCACAGTGAGCCCAAGTAGTTAGAAATTTGACTCACAAAGAGGTTGCTTTCGTTGGGCAAGTTTTATAGCCCTGCAACCTCTCTTTCCCCCTCCACTTTCAGAGTTGCTCAGTTCAGGCATCAGCAAAGGAAGGTTAGATATTTATGAGGATTACAACAAAAGAGGGAAATAATTATCTGATTGGGGTTAGAGCTAGAAGTTTGTTATCTCAAAGCTTGCAAGAATAAATAGGTTGTCTAAGCAGCTTCTGTTCCAGGTGTTAAATGAAAATGCAGGTCAACCATAGGATAAGGCTAGGCTGGGGACACCCAGATTCCAATCTACAGTCAGCCATGGAAATTCACTACATGACTTGTTACTCTCTCTGAGCCCAATGTATTTTACAGTGTTTGTGAGCTCCTGAATGAAAGATTAAAAATAACAATTTTTTTAGAAATTTCACATGATTAAAGTAACTAAAAACTTGTGACATTGCATGTAAGAACTTTTTTAATTTAAAAAACATTATTTCTAAGTGTTAATATATATTTTTTGAAAGGTAAATGGGAATTATCTAGTTGTGTGGGACACCAGATTGCCCATTCAACATTGTAGACCATTAAAACAAAACAAAAATCCACAGGCAAGAGCAAAAACTTAATAAAAATATGGCCTAAAAAACATTAAAGAGATTAATTTATTCCTAAATGACTGTCCCTTGTGTTTCCACCAGGCACTTCACTCTTGGTTCCAGACTTACTGTAGGTGTAAGCTTCTGAAAATGATCGTATCAGATTCATAAGAGGGAAAAATGGTTCTTCAAGATTCTGATCCCATGCTGTTTGTTATGTAATAGTCAATATCAAGTAGAAAGTTTGCATACAGGTAGTCTTTGCTTAACGACCATTCATTCAGTGACCGAATTTACGTCAGTGCTGAACGAAGGGAGTTACGACCTGTGCCCGAAGTTACGGCCGTTGCAGCACCCCTACAGTCACGTGATCACGATCTGGGCCCTTGGCAATCAATTCACACAACTAGTTGCCAAGCACCCCGCAATCATGTGATCACCATTTGCAATGTTCCCTGCTGGCTTCCCCAGAAAGTCAGTGGGGAAGCCAGCAGGAAAGTTTGCAAGCTATGCTACCTGCTGAGAGGACTCCTTCTTGTCTCTGGGGGCTGGCTGAAAAAGCTCCGTGCTGAAATCCAAGCAGGATTTTCAGCTCCAGAGTGGAGAGGCTTCAGAAGCCTCTCAAGTCTGAGGCTGAAAATCCAAGCAGCTCTGAGGCCCTTACGCACTACACCTCTGTGCATCCTCCCTGACCATGCATCTCCTTGTCCCTCCCCCCCTGGAGCACTTGGGGCTTGCAACTTCCTGCTGGCTTCCCCACTGACTTGACTGTGGGAAGCCGGCAGGAACTTGCCTTGCCTAATGACATATGATTCTGGCTTAACTACAGCAGCTAGGAGTGCCAGGATTGCAGTCGCTAAACGAAGTGGTCACATGATGATTCACTTAACAACTGCATCGCTTAGTGACCTAAATTCTGGTCCCAGTTGTGGTTATTAAGCGAAGACTACCTGTAATGTAATTAAACACTGTAGAATAGATGAGGTGGAATCCACAAAGACAGTTGGTAAAGGCAAGAAAAAATTGCATTTTAATAAAGAGTAAGTCTCTTCCAGAAGAATAGCATATTTTTAAAATGTCTGACAATAAGGATGTACACAAAATGGAAAAAGAAGCTTTGTTTCAAGCTTGAACAAATTACTTAAGAATATTTTGAGTTAACTATATTCCAATAAAATGAAACCTGATACATTTCAAGTGTTGTTCTTAAGAAACAATAGGAATTTGAAACAAGACACAGAAGGTATGATGGCTAACTATGTCACCCAACATACAGAAAGGTTGGCCAAGAAACTGATCAGTTGATTGATTGAGAGATAAACCTGTTGAGAATAGAATAGAACCATGGTAAGGCATGCTTTTTATGGCATCTTCTCTTTTTAAAAATGTATTTTAATGCTTTAAAATGCAACACATAACAAATTTTACAATAAAGTAAAAGAAAAATTGAAAAAATGCAAACAGTAAACTTATCATTATATAACTGTAAAATATAGAAAGTATATTATTATAAAATATATAAAATATAAACCTCAATTTTTAAACAATGACTTTAACCTTGATCACACAGAATTTTGCTCAGTATTTATATATGCAACAATCTAGGGGCCATAGATCCAAAGTTTTTCATAAACCAGTTCCAAATTTTAGGAGTAAAATTCAACAACTGTCAGGCCCAGCACAAGAACAACAGGGAAACAATCCAACCAAGTTCAGTTCTTTTATTGCTTACACCATAGAGACAGAATCTTGCCAAACTAAATCTATACTATGCTAACCTAATGGATATACCCTGGAAGATTCTAGGGAGTGGCTATTCTAAGTCTCCTCCTCTTCCCACGTTCCTGCTCTGGATTGTGTTGCCTCTTGTCTCCCCCCCCCACCCCCATCCCTTTCCTCCTGTAATGCGCTCCCTCCTTTCTGAGAACCTGGTTCTCTATGCATTCCATCACACCAACACACTGACATCTTTACATTTTAACTCTCTTATTAACAGTGTTAAGAACATTAAATCTTTATGGAATTACCTGGAGGACATATCCAAATCACATGCATTATATTGCATCTTTAACACAAAAAGGTAGATAACTATCCCTTTTTAAACATCCAATGATATATCCAGTGAACTCCACAAAGTCTTGTTTATGAATTAGTCTCTTCCTAAGATTATGAAAGATCTATTTAACATTTTTTAGACTTGAGATCAGAAGCTTCTTTCTATTCACATGCACACTGCACGCTTTTGCATTTGGTATCCTGAAAACTAAACATCATAGCAACCATATCTATCATTTAAATGCAGAATACGCTGTTTTGCATTTGGCAAGCTGCCTTAAAAAAAAATTTAGAGGCAAAAACATTCTAATTTCCCATAGGGAAAAAAAAAGCAGTAAACTTAACTACTAGGCAGTAAACTTCTTTTGACAATATCTTGAGGCCTTATTTGCTTTTTTTTTCTTCCTTTAAGACAGTGAAAGGAGGCATTTCAGAGACAAGAATTGAAAAGCGAATTGTGATCACGGGTGATGCAGACATTGACCATGATCAGGTATGACATACAAGCTTCTAAAATTATCTCCAAATTGGTCTGTTTTCTATAAACCTAAAAGTCACTTTTAGTGCCAGCAGGTCTTTAAAATATATTAGATTACTATACAGTTGAAATATAAAATGTCTGTTTTGAGTCACGTTTCCTCATTTGGAAATTGTAAATTTAATCATGAATCTCTCTTCACCTTGCTACTGATCATGCATGTTCCACCTCCTTCTCCTTTCTGCCCTTCTGTGGTTTCCTTGTGCTAGGCTCTGGCTCAGGCAATTAAAGAGGCCAAAGAGCAGCACCCTGACATGTCAGTGACCAAAGTAGTGGTACATAAAGAGACAGAAATCACACCAGAAGATGGGGAGGATTGACCACAGGTAAGAGGACTAGATTTTTTCCAGACACTCACAGACTGGCATGTGACAAAGATCATTCCTTCTTCCATAATCCATCATTAATCTTTTCTATTTATTCTTTCTGGCATTTGTACTATGTTTTGTACAAAAAGAATGATTTGGCTGTTTAGGTTAACTTTAAGGAGTAGAACATTTTCTTTATGTTAATGCCAGTTAGAGAAATAGGAGAAACCCATTTGCTTATGTCTGCTTGCTAGTTGCTGTGCCTTTTCCATGAAGTTGCTCTGTAGTTGGCAGTCCTGAAGATTGCTTATGCATATAGTTTGTGGGCAAAGAAAGCATTTTCTTTAATTGTAAAATAACTGTTTTGCCTGAAAAAGCTTGCAAGTACGTTGAACTGAAATACCAGTATTTAAGTTTCAACTGCAAAGTTGTTTGCGTATGGCCTTTTTTAAACTGTACATTTTTCTAAGTTTCCTAAGTAATATGTTCTGGCAATTTTTATGATAGTTACATTGTTTCTTAAAAGGAGACAATGACATGTAGTTTTTGCTGCTGTGATTCAGTAAAGGCATGCTGATAAATTCTTGCTAAATTAGCATTGTGATGTTAATGCAGTTACTATATGCATGTGCTAGAATATGTTTTGCATACTAACCTACTATTGCAAGATCTAGTAACACTTGTATAATCTACAAAGGCTAAATGTTGTGTGTAAGAAAGAAAGAGATGGCTTTTACTTCGTTTGAACTGCTAGAATAATCTTAATTTCAAATAATAAGTTTTCCCAAATGTCCATATAAATTATGTGTTACTGCATGAAACATTGGAATTTTCAAAAATCAATTGCTGTGGTTTTATTGATATATGTAGAAGTTGGGAACAGAGAAGAAGGAACAAAGAAAGAGATGAGTTTTGAGTTGGGAGTAGAGCCTGAACAATTAATGGAATTATGTAGCAGAACATTTGGGAATTACAAGTATTTATATAGTATACATAAAGAACTATTTTCATATGGAGTTGTTACGTATGTTACTAACTTATATTGAATCAAGGCATTTTCTACATGCCTAGTAATGCCTACTCTGCTAGTTGTCCCAAGCTAGTAAACCAAATTTTTCCAGTGCATCTAGTTGATGTCCTTTCATTACAGTTGCTAAGAATTGGATCTTGAACATTTTACAATCGGTAGTCATTCCTTTTAAATTCTTTTTGAAACCATTCCTGATCCCCCCACAAATTAAAATCCAGTTGTTTATATTCATTTACCAAACTGGCTTTGACCTGAACATTGCTATTGTTTATAAATAAGATAGATTTCTATCTATCAAAAGGCTCTCATTAAAAAAAAAAGACTATGAATACAATTGTATATATTTTCAGAAAAATTGAGGTCTGAGCCAAAAATACTATTTTTATGACTCATCCAGTAATTTTGCATAAGCCTGAAGACTTCCTTTGTGGTAGAAATAGTTATAATTCTTTTTGTGCTTTTATTTACTATTTTAGATTATTTATGGAATTTAACTATACTCTCTCTACTGCAGGAATAAAATAGCTTTCTTACGAACTTCATCACTGGGAATATCAGAACCTGTATGGAGTCTTGGTTCTAACCCAGCTGGCTTGCATCTCTCCAGAGAAATTTTCAGAATGGAAGATTTTGATCTTGATTGCTAACTAAGGACACTGGCAGAAATTCCCCATTTACAGCAATTTGAATCAGCATTAATAATCTAATAATTGCATGAAACAACAACAAATTACAAAAAAGCAGCATTTTTATTTTCCTAAATCAACTTTACATCTATATGGCACGTTCATCAATACTATAAAACAACTGTATTATGCTACACATAAAACAGCTCATGCCTTTACTATTATTGAGAGTCTAAACAACAGTTTCTTAGGGTACAAAGTTTTGTTTAGGGGAAATCAAGATCACACTAAAATACTAGAAGCTGTACAGGTACTATATATATGTTTTATCACATTAGATGTGCCAATAACATACTTTATTCAGTAAATAACTTGAATCATATACTTGTTATAATTTGGTTTTATTATTCTTGTTCAATAAACAATGGTGAATCTCTAATCTTATTTAAATGCTTACAAATATGCTTTGTTTATCTGATTTGGGACCCTTAATAGTTAATCATGATTTCTAGAATTGTTAAAGTTAGAAATCCTGCCGTCACTTTTCTAAAGTCTCAATCTATAAATTTGCATTGTGATTATTTTGAATAAAATGTATGTTTTCCTTAGCATCTCAGATATGCTTATCTGAAAATGTGATTTTTCAAAAACTGAGTTCCTGTCTACTCTCAGAGAAAGATGTTTCTTTTGCAAGTCTAGTCAGTGTTCCTTACCTAGGTCAGAGTTAAGCCTTAAACCATACACAACACTTACCAAGCATTATTTCATTTTGGTTATCACATCAATTTAAGGGATCCTATCTTCTTTATGCTGTCAGTTTCATCACAATACATGGCAAATGTATGTTTCTGCATAGTAAAATAAAAGTGGTAAATGCACCTAAATTTGTACTGGTCTGTGTCTAAAAAATGTTTTGCTGTATTTAAATGTTGGTACTATTTGTATAATATCAAAGGCATTTAATGTGTAAAACAGATGTTCTTTCATACAGTCTCGATATGGTGTTAGGTGGATAAAAATAGAAGGTCAGGGACGACTGAAAAAGATTGTAAAAATTAATTCTGTCTGTTCAATTTTGTACATATATCTTCCCTCTGATTTCTTCTGTATTATATATCTATGTAATGTGTTTCATGTAAGATCAATGAGGCTCATGATCAACTAAATATTTTTGAGCATTAGCTTGAAAAAAATAGTTTTGTATTTTATATTCTAAATCTAGCTAGAATGCTTCTAAATGCAATATTGGAAGAATTGAATATTTCTTTTGTGATCAATCACTGAAATCAGTGAAATGCTGAAGTATTGTGCCTTTGATGTTTGAATTTAGTTGCTCATTCACAATTCAGGCATGATATTCTTTCACTGAAGAGAAGATATAATAAACTGCATTTGGTAGGCTTTGGAATAATGAAGGAATAGCTAAAATGTTATTTTTGTCAATAATGGCCAAACACACACACATGGTTCAGCTCAAGTGCAGGTACTTTGAAGGGAGGCTATTTAGGACATAATAGAATGACTAATTATTTTGAAATTAAAAAAGACAATCTGTAGAGAAAATATATAGAGTTCTTTGCAGGTGTGGAGCTTCATGCCCTGTTTGTACGTTCAGTGTCCCCCCAGATGATAAATTATAGAACAAATGACAGAAATAATTGTATTGGCCAAATAAATAACTTATGCTTTACTCTAGACACAGCAATAAATCATAACATTCCATTCACACTGTATTCTTACAGTAGAAGCTTTCAGATATGACACAGCTGGATAAGTTGCTTTATTGTAAGTACAGTCGAAGCCATGTATGTATGTGTGTGTGTATATATGTGTGTGTGTGTGTGTGTACACACACACACACAGTGATACCTCGGTTCACGAACTTAATTCGTTTCACGATTCTGGTCGTGAACCGAATCAAATTTTCCCATAAGGTTCCGTGTAAATGAGGTTAATCCGTTCTGAACT